AACTTGGCAATCTGTGTCTTCAAGTCTCCATCCTTTTCTGATAGCAAAAATCACATGAGGGTATTAAAAAGCATTAAACATGAAGTAAAGATTTAAAAATAATCAAGTAAAATAAATAAAATAAAAAATAATAAGGAAAAGAAAACAGAAAATATATTAAAAAAATTATATATTATACATATTTTATTTTATTATTCTAGGCAGCAGGAACAATTTCTGTGAACTCACAAACAGCAGAAGCAAATATAGTCAGAAAACCGCATCTCAGAGTGTTGGCATTGACATGGTTTGTATTAACACATTACTGTAAGTTTTGGAAGGGTCTTATTTCAGCTGACTTTTTTTTTAAACGCAGCTGCAGGTGAACTTTTACCGGGGCATAGCAATGCAATGCATTAGGGAGAATATGAGAGACCCTAGAGAAAAACACTTTTTTAGTGTTTGGATAGAATGGGAAGGCTTATATAGTACCTATGTTCCTGCCGGGGAGATTTCCCATTATTTCCTGTCTAGTTAAGAGGTATCAAATAAAATATTAGACTTGTGCACAACAAGAAAATTCGTTTTCAGACGAAACAAAAGAAAACAGAAAACGTTTCATTTGTCTCGTCAAAGGAAACTTATTTTTATGTTTTTTTTATCTACGCCCGAATATCGTTTTAGTATATTCCGGCGTATATTAAATTTGTTATTTCGGATTTCAACTGAATCAACTGATTTTCGTTGACTAGCAGGTTGGTCCGAATCCGAATGCACATGTCTATAAAACAAAATAAAGAAAAACTCCTTAACATTGACGCAGGCATTATATAAACCCAGCTCTGGATTAAGAGCATCATGGGCCCAATGTATTTTCTACCTGGTCAGCCCACAGAGATCTTTACAGCAATCTTCTGGGTCCTGTATGGTGCCAAACTGAGCAGCTTTTCTCTGCACTTAAAATACAGGGGTTGCTTGCTTAGCACAGTGGTCGTTCAGGGGACATTGATTTTTCTCGATGGAAAAATGTTATCTGATTGGACAACGGGCAATAATATCACATCCCCCCTCAAACAAATAAAGAACACCTTATATTCAATGATAAAAATAGCAGTGTAGAAGAGTTAACACAGGTGTAGAAAGAGACAAATGAAAGGGAAAAATGGGAAAGCAAGGGAAGGGAGGTAAGAGGGGAGGCAATGGAAAAGTGAGGGAAAGTAAGCAGGGGGGTGGAATGAGTATAGTTAGGAGGAGTGCTTTAGGCGTTTATCTGCAGGTCATTCTATGTAAGGTTTTTTCTCAGAATTAGAGTGCTCCACCTCTTCCATGGAGTAGAGTGATTATGTATGCAGGTATTTGGAGTGTAGGATGCTCATATACCCTTCAGTCCTGTATGTTCTGACCTAGTGGTGCTCAGCATATATTTGTAAGCAGAAATCGTTCCATTGGAACCATGTGTGGCAAAATGTTTCCTCTTTAACATAAATCCCTTTAATTTTAGCAAATTATAGAGTCAGGGATGGTGCTACAGGCTGTTTCCACAAAGCAGGAATTCATGCCTGAGCTGCATTAATCAGATGTATTGTAAGAGACAATTTGTACGTTTTCATCAGAATATCATTAATATGAAGTGATCAACTAATTGGGTTCCGTGCAACTGAAGCGAGATAAAGAATTAATTTTTGACCTCTGTCAGAATAGGCTAACTAAAGTGCAGTTCCAGAAAATATGGAGAAGCGTACCTGGTTCAGAGTGACAGCAGGTAGAGGGGAGTTGTGGGTAAATATTTTGAAGGAATGTGAGGATCCAATAGCAGTGAGGTACTAGTTTGAATCCCTGGTCTTGAAACCAGTTAGATGCAGAGTATTTATGTTCAAAGTAGATGGCTCTGCGTATTTGTGAAGTGATTAATGGTGTTTGTAGTTCGTTCCCCACTTGTGTATATAAGGGGTATAAATCCCACTATTGGAGTAGTTCAAAGTTTTTTTATAATGTAGAAAATTAGATGTGTTGTGGGGAAATGGGCGGGATTGGGACAGAGGTCCTCAAATAGAGCCTGGTATGCCGAAGAGTCTGAGTTGATTCGCAGGCCCGAGATACAGAGGTGGAGATGTCAGGATTTGGATTTCTTCATGTCGTAGGCACCCAGATGGGGTGAAAAAGTTGAGAATGTGATATTTGCCTATGCGCATGAGACTTTTAAAATGTTTGTCATCTTTACTAGGGGAGAAATCTGGGTCTCCCAAGATTGGGGTCATAATTGAGGAGAGATTTTAGGAAGAGGGAAGACCAGGGCGATAACATGGAGTGTAGCCCCTATCATTGGATGGAATTTTAGGGTTCTTGAGTGAAACAAGGAAAGTTACAGGAGGCGTTAAAGAGTTAGATGAACACTCTACTGCTCGATATGTACCCACTCTTTGGTGGCAGAGTGACGGCACCAGTCTACAATGCAGGGGAGATGTAGTGCCTTGCAATATTGAGACAAGTCAGGAAGGCATATGCCTCTGTAGTCCCCATCACCGTTTGCGAGGTGGCTACTAGAAATTTAGTAATTGTAGCCAGTCTGGCTGAATTATAGTTGGCATTTATCTGGTTATTTCCAGGTGTCCTGGCATTCATTATACCTGCCTGAGTGAAGTGTGACTCTGCTGCAGTATGGGACATCCAATGAGGGGATGGTGTGTGTGCCATTCACCAACCAATCACTGGGGCTCTCTCAACCAGTGTTGCATGCTGGGACAGGGCATACATAGTTCATGGAGTTGCCATGTGCGCAGTCTAGTTCTAATTGGGCTCCTACCATGGATTAGTCCAGGTTGGGGTGTTGTCCAGCCTGCACCCAGGTGCCGGAACATAGTGGCCCTCAGGAGCATGCCTGGTGTCTCTCCTACTGAGGATTTGTGCCCATCCTGCTCAAATACCCGTTCAACTGTGCTACAAATGAATCTACACTGAATTACTAAAATGCACTGGTGAGTCTGGAGTTTATGTCTGTGCTACCTTGGATGTCTAGGATTCCTATATCCTCTTTCCCAGACTGAATATGTTAATAAATGTTCTTCAGCATTATACTTCTTGCTTGGATATCAGATTTGAGAGCACTAGAAGAGGGCGGTTAAATGCTAATGGGGTAGCTGAATACCAAAACCTCTAAACCAACTAGTGATCTAGTTTATCCTGGCAGCTCCTTCAGGGATGAGTGCTTCACCTCCAAAATGTTAAGGGATAGTGAGTAGAAAATAGCGTGTATAGCGGGTTTATGAATGTCAGTAAAAGGGAACATACTGTATGTGGGAGAAGCAGGATTGCAGAATAGAGATAGGTACAGTTTGGATCAGGTAAAGATACGAGGCAAAATGGTCATCTTGAAGGCATCTCCTTAAAGGAGAACTATGAGGTGAGTGCTTTTCACTCACCTCATAATTGCTTCAGCTGTGGCGTCTCAGTATACTGAGCCTAGGGTGACGGGAGGACGCTAGTTTGTGTCCTCCCGTTACCCTAAGGAGAACTATGGGGAAAAGCCCTAACCCCATAGTTCTCCTTTAACCACATTAGAACCATTTGCCAGTGGCGGAGGTCCTTACAGATCTAAAAGGGGCCAAAACTTGGCTTCATACAGTTTGCATGGATTGGATGTAACCTGAGTTCCAAGATATTTAAGCAGGTTTGAGCCAACTAAAATGGAAAATCCATTTTCAGTATGCTTATCCAGCCTGAAGGGATCGAGATGTTAAGGTATCAGATTTGTTATTAATATAAATATGACATTAGATAGGTCTTCATATTGTTAGAAGACCATCAATAGGTTTCGGGAGAGCAATCTCTGGTTTAGACATAAAAAAAAGAGGTCGGGGGCGTGGCTACCAGGGCATGTGACAAGACGTGTCTTCCCGGAGCTCCGTCTATGACCGCTGAATAAAAGAGTTTAGCAGCCCTTATTCAGCTCCATTATGAGGGAGAAAAAGCTCAAGAAGTCTGCGAAGACCCCCTCTACATCCTTCCGGAAATCCCAAACCCCCTCGAACATCAGGGGGTACTTTGATCGTTCGGATCAGGCGAGAGGCGGGCCTCGCGGCAAAATGGCGCCGGACACGAGCAGGGTTGC